CCCTTCCAATGGAAACAAAACCCGAGAATGGTATGAGGCAATATTGTTAGAAACAGGCTCCATCTCTTTGGTACACTATTATCAGAGAAATACGAATATAGTGGCATACTCGAAACTTCAAATAAGAAAAATAGTTACATATGAGGAATGGGGCTCAGACCCTATGAGAAGTCGAAAGTTACAAGCTCCAGAATTCAATAACAAATATTTCCAGTATTCAAAATATATGGATGCTTGGCATAAAATATTTGCTCTCCAAAATAATAATAATTCACACACTTGGTTTATCCAAATGAAAATGCCAGTCATCAAGGCATTACCCAATTGATTTCGGAACTGGTTTTTGATCTGGGGTTCGGGATCACAGATCCTCCCCACAAGATACAACTATCCCAAGAGAAATTTGCTGAATATAATAATAAAGACCCAAATATTGATTATCATTTATATTTCATGGCCATATATCAAATTCCATGGATTATGAAATGGAATTTTTCAATATCTGAGAATTTGACCAATGACTGGGAATATATCCCAAAACTTGGTAAAACAATATCTGTTAAATGGTGGGACGTTTATGAGAATAAGTCCCTTGACCCAAACAATGTTATATTAAAGAAAATACCAGGTCAAATCCCAACTGAAAACCCAAATAGTTTCACCGAATATATAAATAAGATGAGGCGACAAAATCCCCAGGCTACAAAGGAAGAACTAAAGAAACAGCTTTTACAGATCTTTGAAGAAGAAGGAGATACTATGACAACCTCTTCACAAAATGAAGAAGAAGACTTTGCAGTAGAAAATGAAGATTGCGGGCTAATTCATCCTGAAATAGATTTCTCTAAATAAAAGCCCGAATAAAGGAAAGCCCAATACTCAATAAGACCCGATGATAACGACTCTAAGCCACCTGTCATCACTAAAGAAGCCACATGTGTAAATAAGATGCTGCCGACACCTTTTTGTCTATTCAGAATACTATGGAAGATGCTGCCGACACCTTTTTGCCTACTCATAATACTGTGCAAGATGCTACTGTACCTAATGGCCGACAACTGTCACTGTACAAGATGCTACCGTACCTAATGGCTGACAGCTGTCACTATACAAGTTACCGCCGTACTACCTTTTATCACATCAAACCATTGTGCCTGACTTTCCAGATGGCACCCTAATAATTGCTCTCTGCCTATATAAGGAGAACCTCCCCCATTTGCTATGCACTGGAAGACGGGGTCTCTCTCTCCTCTGTTCAGTTCTCTCCTCTGCTCAGTTCTCTCCTCTGCTCAGTTCTCTCCTCTGTTTAGCTCTATCCTCTGCTCAGCCCTCTTCGCTGCCATACTCTTGGCTCTGCTTTGCTCTCTCTCTCTCTTCCATCAAAAGAACCTTTTGCCCAAGAATCCAGAACTGCAGACTATCTTCATATCTACTCTTGGTAATCTATTCTGAGTCCTGAAGTCCGGGTATACTTCTCATATTCACTTTCCCTGTTTCTGAATTCACATACAGGTTCCTATTCTCTCATATGAATTAAATTCTCTTTCTTATGCTTTATTTCTTATTTGTATTCTAGTAAAATCTGTATATCTGGTGGTGTATCATAAGCCACTCAAACATTAAGTGTGATGTGTGACTGTAATCTAAATAGCCTACCGTCTTACTGTCCTGAAGAGTGGAAACTCTTCACCAGTTACTATATTTGCTGCATGTAAGTTCTTTCGTCTGTTTTTGCTTTTACAGATAGCCTTTTGACTGTACTGTTGGTTTCTCTTTATTGTAAATCTTTGGAATGCAAGTAAAGTTTATTTTATCTATTAAGGTTAGAGAAGTTACTTATACTAATTGGATCATAGTAGATATATCTCCTTTCTCTATCTTTGTCTTGAAAATTACATTATTATACGTAGGTATAGTACGTTTAATGCTTAACATATCCATTGATACTATTGATAAAAGAATTGTGTTTTGATTTAGATCTTGGTTTACTTTTGGTATCAGAGCCATAACACTTTATCAATAGTATATT